ACTCGGTAATAAGTAATAATTATTATTACTTTTATTACTTATTACTTTTCATCACTAACTGCTTTATTATTTATCATTTTGATACTATTCGGACTTTAAGTGCTGGTACTAGTAGTAAGGGATAAAGTTGAAACTTTTATTTTATTAATATTGTTTTCATCTCTTAACTCGAATTCTTTATGTCAGGTAGAACGTTTCTACACTTTACTCGATAACCATATCGAGTCTTTAAATCAGAAGTTTCGAGCGAAGTTTTCGATAAATTAGTGGATATGTGATGATATAGTTTTGGTTCTTCAAGACGGTTGGGGAGACGCTAACTTAAATTTTGGGTGCTCAGAAATTTCAGACTCGTTAAAGTGAAGAGAGAAGACATGGCTAAACGTATGAGAAAAACATGTTTATGATTAGGGTCAAGATAAACCTGCCTTTAAGGTGAAAGAATAATATTCATAACGCTAGTTCTGCCCAATCTATCAAAAAATGTCTCTACGAAGTGTTGTTCGATGAGAAATCAAGATGTGATATCAAAATGTGGTAATTGTCATCCGATAAAACCGTCTTAGATGAAGAACAACTTCCAGATTGTTTTATCGATGAACTGAATGAACGTGAGATATGTCAAGTCTGATTTCACTTCATTCAGTTTCTGAGCAAGATGAGCATATCAGTGAAGGTAAAATAGAGTGTAGCATCCTGTTAGAAACTGTTTTGATATATTTTTTGAGGCGACGAATTTATAAGTCATAACAGTCAGTCAACAAGTGGTCACAAGCACATACGAGCTCCAGCGGAAGCCGCTTACATGGCCACCATTACTAAACGGCAAGATTGTTTCATAATGCAATGCGTCTACAGAAGTACAAAGTCGACGATTTAGTTGGGCTGAAAATCGATAATCTCAGTTCAATCATCTTCGAATGATATCGACATGTATCAGCTATGTACTACAAAAGTAGTACTCAACACACGATTTCAAGGATTGGATTTATTGGATTTAAACAAATGTTACTTTGTGCGATATCGACTGGACAACATTACGAACAACTACTTTCATTCAAGCTAGCAAAGATAATGTCAATGTAGGGTCGATGAATCCTGCCAAAATGTGTAATTGTAGTGGTAACTGTGCAATGAAGAAATGTCGTTGTCGAATAGCAAAAACACAGTGGGACAAAAAATGTCATCTAAGCAAAATAAAACCATGTTCAAATTCTTAGTTCTCACCTTATTTTTATTTTTTGTTTCGTGAACAATTTCTCTAACTGATGTTTATTTATAGACAAAACTAAAATACCGATTGAGTAGTTGAAGAAAACTGCATGATTTTTGTTTCCTTCTTCTCTCTCTGTTGAGTCAGTCTGACATCAAAAGAAATTTTAAAAGAAATTTTTTCCTATAGGAATAATCAAAAAATATTAACTTTAACATTTTTGTTGGGGAAAATTTGAAATTTTGCAAGGGAGGGAGAAACAGAAAAATATAGAAATTTCTCTATTACAGTGTTTAACGTATTTATATATGATGAAAAGGAGAAAAATAAAAATAAAAACGATCTGAAAATCTCTTTATGTCTAGATGTACATGTAACTATATGTATGAACGAAAAACTATACATATTCGTCCATCCTTGAAAACAAAAGAAAGAAAAAAATGTACTGAAACATCTCTATAACATAACAACGAAAAAGAAAAAGGAAAATGAAAGACCTCGATTTAGAACTATTCAAACGGCATGTGTAAAGCTCTAGTCTGTAATATGTAGCTGTTCCTAATTAGAGCAAATACATCATCATGCGTGGCTAGTGATGTGATCTCCAAGTTATCGCAATTCTTAAAGACTATTCACATTTGTGGAGCCTAAGGAAGAAATTTTACTGAAACAGAATTTTTTAAGGAGATTTGATGTAACAAAGTTTCCTGCACCGAAAACGTTGAAATCGAAGACGCACTTTTTCGATGTTCAAGTGGTAAAAGACCGTTTTTAAGCCGCCAATCCGGTATTGCTTCTCCTTGCGATTTGAAGCATTTTCACAACCAACGTATATTTCAAACGACATCGTTTTGTCGGCCATGACCAACTTGAAAAACGATCTATTCGAATAGAACTTCCGACTCCGAACCGTCATGAAACTTCGATTTCTCTATGGATCTTTTGATCTGTGCAAATGATTAATTTGCTGTGATCTCTTATTTTATTGAAAAAAGTTTAATCCTCAAAACTCGCTTATATAAGAAGCTTTCTCGCTAGAGTGATATCTCGGACAAAATCAAGGGTTCGCATCCATCCCTCCTCGCTCAATCGGTGAGATATTCTGGGAGTACAAAGGAATGAACACTCTGATCCTTATCAACGCATACGGCCTCTTGATCAGTTTTGGACCTGTCCGAAACGAGAATCAGCTGATTGATGCCTCGCCAAGCAACACCTTCGATATTGCAATACTGAATGCTACATTGATCTGGGACTTGAGTGGCACGCGGCAAATCGTACACAGTGGTCTTCTGTAACGATGACACCCGAAAGTAAGGCGGATCATTGATTTCCTCGATCAGGCCAATCCAGACTTGACTATTTTCTTGACTTGTTACAGCGATATACGTAGGCAGTGTGGATGAACTTCGACGATAGATAGATACAGATGAATAGTCATTGAATTGAACGGATGATGGCAGACTGATTGTACCCACTGGCTCCCAACTACAAGATTCTGGCGATATTAGTAGAGAAAAAAAGGCAAAGAAATGCATTTTTCTAGAGATAGTGCGTTCACTCACTTTTCGATGTCGCTTCCTTCTTCTCCAGCACTATGAGTGTTCCATTACCTGTTGGATTGCTAGCTCTTCTTCTTGCACTTTTGCTTGCACAACTATTTGCTTCGCATAGTCCAAGTAAATAACTTTGTTTCGTATGTTGATGGGCAATGAATTCGAGACCTTCAAAACCTTTATTGTCCGAATCGAAATCCCAGTGTGCCGGACATGACTCAAGTATTTGTATTACAGGAATTGAGTCGCTTGTCGTAAATCGAATTTCAAAGACATTTGGGTTAAATTTTTTCTTGTCGTCAACCGACTTAATCGCTTCTTGTACGACAAAATAAGTATCATGCATTGGATTGTAGGCAATGCCTTCAAATTGTGACTCTTTGTTTGTCGATTCATCGGGCCAGGCAAATAACTGATCGGTGCAGTTGCTTGAATGCACAGCTATTGATGTACAAAGAGCAGCAATTTGAAAAGTATTATCAGACACGACATACATAACGAGACCATCAGAGCGAAGAACAACATCCGATGCTTCAAACCTATTCGGAATGGTGGTACTGATTTGCTTTCCAGTGTATCTATGAATGGTACATGAAATTGTGTATGAAAGTTCAGAACGAAAACAAAAACACTCACGCGGATATGTCAACAAACGAGTCAGCTATGATTTGCTCACGCAACAGCTTGAGTGTCTGCTTGTGATAGTTTTCGTCCTTGCAAGGATTGCTAATTCTGTAGTTGCCACCAGAAACGTGGAGAAAATGCGCATCAGGCAGCAACAGAAGGAGAACGATCAATGTGAGTAATGCCATTTGAGGTTCTACAGGTAAATATATGTACACCACACCATAGAGCATCGCGTATATATAGGTATCATTTTGTTTTATTCCAATGCGTTTCCCTTGTCTTTATCTTCCTTCAATGCGTTCTATAACGATGTTGACCGTGTCAACTATCATGCTTTGACTCTTAAAAAAGAATTATGATTGTATTTATTGTCAAATACATTCGATGTAACGACAAAGAATGCAGATAATATATCTTTTATGTCTGCTGTAACAATGTTGACCATGTTAATTGTCGTGCTTTGACTCTTGAAAAAGAATTATGGTTATGTTTGTTGTCAAATACATTCGATGTAACGACAAAGAATGCAGATAATATATCTTTTTGCGGATTATATCCTTCCATTGAGGTTGAGAGAGCTTCTTGACATAGTTTATTAGCAACAAAAGTGGTAAGTGACAGGTGCCAGATAGTTATCACGATTCACAATATCCTTTTAGCAGGCACGGAGGAGATATTCCAGTTCTTGTTTCCAATGTGAACCTACTTGAGCTCAATGGAATCATTATTACCATTTCAAGGAATCATTCTTTAGAAAGTTTGATCACAGAAGGCATTCGATACAGACTGTTCAGTTTCAGTCGTTTCGCCCTATGATTGGGTTCCATGGCCAGTGTTGTCATATCGATGACCTCTCAAAAGCATATGAATGATAAAGAATAGACGTTGAATACATTGGAGATATTATACTAAATATAATTGGATTACCAACAAAAAACATCCGAGTCCATATTATTTTGAAACAGATAGTAGTTTTTTCTGTTAAAAGGTGTAACCGAATTTTTAATATGAAAATTCGACAAAGACTAAAATAGTTGGATAAGATAGAAATACACATTAATCTAGTCAGTACTTTTATCCTGATTCCGAACATAATATTTCTGTTGAATAAAAGTTAAGTTCTGATGAGAAAATTGAGAACTGCGGGTAGAATCTGACTTTTTCGCCTCTGATGTAGAAAAAATGAATTTTTTCAGCAACATAAAGGTTTTCAAAGAATTTCAAAACAAGCCATTTATACTTTTTTTGTCCGGGTAAAGGTGAATCGAGTGCAGTACGAATGGAAGTTACATCTTTTGACAGAAAGACTAATTAGCTTTGCAAAATTTGATGGCGCCATTTTTTTCTCATACTATCAGACATAATTTCTGCCATTGATTCTTCATATACCAACATATTTTGATACACATCAATCGACTCAGTTTTGGATCCTGATTCCAAATATGATATTTTTATTACATAGAACTTGAGTTCTGGTTGAGAAAATTGAGAATTAGTCAGTGTTTTTGCACCAAAAAGGATTTAAAACTAATTTTTCAAACAAATAAGGCAAAAATTGAAAAAAGTGGCCTGAACAATCGATAGAACTCGAAAAGTTCTATCGAATGATATATCGCATGATTTGTTTCCATTTGTTCTGATATTAGGAAAATTTACTTTTTTTACTGAAGAGCCACTAATTAGTGCTAACCAGAGCTAATTAGTGATTAAAAAACGATCAGAGATATCGTTGTTAAACTTTTTTGTATGGAATTATATCTACAAATACTTCTCTATAAAACTACATTACAATCAATTGACTGTAACGTTTATATCGAAAACTAGAAAGGTTTTGAAAGATGCCTGTCAAACTTAAAATTTCAATTAATTTTGAACTTAATTAATTAATAACTCTGTCAATACTTGATCAACGGGCTTTTTATTGCATAGACATACCACCGAAAATGTTCTCTGCAAACTGGCCAAATTTGAGGGCACATTTGAGGCAAGATTATTAGGCTATTGCACTTTTTTATGTACAGGATGATATCAAGAGTATGTTCAAACGACGCAGGATATGTAAAAAATAAAGTAGAAAGTTTACTTTAACGTCATCTTAAAAAGTTTAAAGTATTAACTTTAACTTTAAACTTTTTAAAGTTAGTGAAAACTTTAACTTTAACTTTCAAAGCAAAGTTAAAGCGATATTCCTCCATTTGCAGGAAATTGTGTTATATTTTGTTCAAACTCAAATATGGCTTGCAGTAGAGCGATCGCTATGAGAATTCTTCGCCTCAAGGGCTTTTAAGGAGACCTGGGAATCTCTTTGTTGGTTCGTAGCTCAAAATCAATCTTTCCTGCTTGATCTATAATCTATGATTTGTTTTGGATGATTCCTGAGAGTTGCATTTATTTAGACTGGAAGAAGTGCCGTATGAATATTTTAATTTTACATGATGATATGAGAAAAAGTGAATTTTGCGAAAACGGCATCCTATCAAATAATATAAGCATTGCCACGGCTTGGTGACGATAGTAGTCATAATGACCCCTCAATTAGTTTTCGGCTTACCTGGAATATTAAAAAAGAATACTATTGTTGGTTTTCCTTTCTTTATTTTAGTTGAAATTGTTCGTCAGATTAATTTAGAGTAAAGTATCTAATTGGAACCGCAACCAGATTTGTCTAACTTGTGACGTCAGTATCTGAGTGAGTTTTGAAGCGATTTTCACCGAGTTTGGGGGCTTTTGTAGTTGAAAGTCTTGGCTATATAATGATCTAAAAA